TATTAAAAAAAAAAAAAAAAAAAAAAAAAAAAAAAACAAATACGGCAAACAAAAATCCAAAACAACAACAACAACAAAAAAATCCAAAACAAAAAATGTTAACAAAACAACAACAGCAGCAGCAGCAAAGAAACACAGAAACAACAACAAAAAACCCCAACAAAACAACAACAACAATAATAAAGTTAACAAAACAACAGCAGCAGAAGAACACACAAAATAACCACAACGAAATCGACAAAAAGACAACAAAAAAAAAAAAAAAAAAAAAAAAAAAAAAAAACAACAACAATAAAAATAACTTCAAGAAACAAAACAAAACATAAGAAAAACCAACAAAAACGGTGCATTTTAAATTCCCTGTAAATGTACACTTCCAAATTAAAATCCCTTAAAGTAATTCAGCCATCTTTATTTATTATTCACTCGTTTCAGAGTTTTAGTGTGTGTTTTTAGTGTTTTTCTTAATATTAAATAGGTGAAAAAGCAAATCCTTTAAAAACGCCCAAGACGCCAAACATGAAATTGTTGCAGACTCAGTTTGATTAAGCATGTTAATTAAGTTTGTGGTAATATACAGTCATAGCTGATTTTCAAACCTCATCTTTGTGTGTGGCTGTTTTTTTATGAGTTTTGATTATCGTTAAATTGAAATGTCCTTGGTAATTTCGAAAATAGACTCGTATTGTAAATCATAAATAAACAAAAACTGAAAATATCATAGTAAATTCATTGAAATGGTTTCTATCACATCATAAGGGAAAAAAACACACTTTAACTTTACGATTTTTCTCTGTCTATTGCAAGACTCACAGGTCTCAAACCCTCCCCTTTCCCCGCCCTTATGTTCAAAATCATCTAGCGCCTGCCCATGTCGAATCAATCAATACGATATGCTTAGTTTAGTCGAACCATCTTATTACATCTACTGAAGTATATCATTTTAATTTAAAATTGATGATTTTTCATTGAAACTTAACAGTTGTCAGTTTCACGTCTGTTGATGTAGACAATAAGTAACCATGTCTTTAATTTATGGATTTTAGACAAGCGTCAACAATTTCAATATGTAAGTTACAAGTTTTAATTATTTATTTATTTTTGCTTTTTACTTTCGTTTAAATTATATTATTATTATTATTATTATTATTATTATTATTATTATTATTATTTTAAAATAATCTTTTCTATTTTTCGCCAATATGAGCATGGGCTGTAAATAAATAACTACATTTTAACAATTTTTTTGTAAATGTTAACATTTTTATAACGATTTCGACTTATATTACTGAAATTCAAATTAATGCTACTCAAGTTTTATTTGAATGTAACTAAAATTTCGACTTATGTCATTGATGCAACTAATGTTTCCACTGATGCAAATAAACTTTCCTCTGATTCCGTTTGATATAACAACAATTTCGTTTTTCTTTTATATTTAAATTTCGGTTAATGTTACTAAGATTTCAATGGATATAACCAAAATTTCGGCTGATATTACTAACATTTCTGCCGATGTTTCTAAAATATCGATTAATGTTACTGAAATTTCGTCTGATGTTTTTGAAATTTCGAATGATGTAATAAAAACATTTTATCTGATGTTATTAAAGTTTCAATTTCTATTGATTTTATGAAGTATTTTCCTTCTTTTTTCCATCTCTTTAATGAACATTAATCCCCTTAAGCCCCCCCCCCCATTTCGATTGTGTTGGAAGCTATAATCATACTGAAACACTCTCGAATCCGTTCCTGGAACCAACCAGTACTTGAAATGAGTGTAAAGTTTCTTGACTGACAGGGTTTGAACCCATGCGGCCATCAATCCTCACATTACTACATGTAGTCCGACGCCCTAACCACTCGGGCACGCCGCCACTTAGTATTTTCCTTAATGTCTAGCGTGTATTTATTCAAGATCGAAGTTGATCTTCTTTAATCCCTTAATTTAAAAAGCAACACAAAACTTTAGAGATCTTATTTATGATAATTTTATTCTTAAATAAAAACAATTAAACGTACGTTTAAATTGGACGATAATTGCGAGTCATAAGATTATTTTTTTCAAATCTAGCAGTCATTCGTATTTGGTTAGCATTGATGAACGATAATTTTTCATGTCATGACAGTCACTTTCACTTGGCCATGTGTCAAACATGTTAAAGTATTATTTTTTTCTTTTGTTTTGTAGTGTAATGAAATTATTTTAACACAGACAAAGATTACGGTTAAGTACACGAGATAGGTAGGAAATAATATGCTTTTTTGGTATTTTCCATTTCAGGATATTGCTGAGGCGTTTGCTACTTTTTGGTTTATTTCACGTGACATGTAAGACATTTCCCCTTTTTGCTTTTTGGTAACCCATAAAATGTTTCATTATATAAATAATAGAATATTATTTATCGTAAATCTTAACCGATCATGAGGGATAGTGAGTGAGTTTGTTGTATTTTAAATAGGGTTTTACACCGTTTTCTATTTCATTTACAAGAGTAAATTCCAAATTGTAATTATACGAGGTTTGTCCCTACTAAAGTTGGAATAATAATTGTTTGAAATAAAAACAAATCGTCACACTTTAAAAAAAAATATCTATTTCAAAGTAATGTACGTAATTCCCACATGAACCATTTCATGCATTTTATGAGATACAAAATAAACATTTGGAACTATACAGTGGAAGCCGCGCTGGTCACGACGTCATTTTGACTTCAACGTCATTTCATGAAAGTTTCATTGGATATGACGGCAGCAATATAATTTTATTCAATTCGTTCTTAATCATTAGCAAGAAGCTATCTTTTAAAGGTTGTGAAGTTTTTTAGTTTTGTGTTTCAATTATTATTTTCTGTTCTGTACATTTTCCTATATGTATACTATTTACCCCCATCTTCTTTGATACATGTACATGTTACGAACATGTTACGAACAGTTCATGCAGGGCTACACAGGAAGATTTATAAGTCATTATTTGTCGTCTTTACACATTACGTTAGTTCTTCACATTTCACGTTCGTACTTAACCTTTACATGTAACTCAGTTTTGGCGGGGCGAAAATTAAAAAGTACGAAAGTGCAAAGATAACCCTTGTCCTGTATTTTCCTTTGTCCCGACACATGAGATGGAGTTGTTGTCCGTCTTATAAACATGGCAATAGCTCAGTGGTCATAAATTTTTATCATTGCAAAAGGTGGCACGTTGAAATCCCCGGACTTCAACTCAGGTTGGATAGATCTGTGGACCGGGTTGAATACTACAGAATCTGTAAAGATCGTGGTGCATGGACTTCAGGAAACTCCTTTATTGGTTGATGTCCAGGTCAAAGATAATGATTACGGCACCATTTACCAAGCATCAGGTACGATAAGAATAGCTTTTAAAATATTAATGGATAGTTAACGTGTCTAGGTGGATAGCCTATTCCTTTTTTATTTTAAGAAATTCGCTTCATTGATATATTCCACATTATCTAAGGAAAAATCTGGCAAAGGGTATAAGTAACTTTAGGCATTGTGAGACTTAATTGTATACTTAAACATCAAACGTGTATTATGTGCAAGTCGTTGGATTATATTTTGATAATTACGACTAACATTTGGCGTCGGTATACTGTTTTACTAACGTGGCAATAACTTGACACTCATGATTAATTTTTATTACCATTTTGTTGTCTGACATTTAATTATATTGGTTTAAATAATAAATATCAAAACACTTTTCAATAGCATAAGATTCAACTCCTTGCTTCAAATATATTATATTTGTACAAGTCAAATACATTTGTACAACGAATTGTCTCCCTTATATATGGGTAGGAATTCCACAAGGGACATTGACTGCTTTCATAAAGCTATCCGGCTTACAGAAGTCGGTTCAAGTTAGATACCCGCTTGCATAGTTTGGCACTTGAGGTTTTCCACCAGCGTAAAGGATTGAAATCCGCCATAATGTCACTTTGCAGTAACGGGTTAACTCGTATTGATTTATAATAGGAGTTAACCCGTTACTGTACTTAGGAAACGGTTTGAACTTGAAAGAACCAATGGAATTAAAACCAAACTGAATAAATAAAGATATTTGAACATGATCTTAAAATTACTTTACTTATGTCCTATTTCAATGGGTATAAAGTACCAATGCTGTCTAGTACATATTTTATGTTTTAGGACACATAATTCAAAATAGAGATTTAAGAGCACCAGAGTCCAAGATTAGTAAATCTGAGTGTTGGGAAAGTAAATGTCGAAAATACGAACCAGATAGTGAAAACGGAGTAATGTACATTTATAACGAACGTGTTGTCAAGGTTATAGCGATGGCTAGAAATAAAAACAGGGACTACGGAAGATGCAAATTCACGGGTAACTTGTCTTAGTATCACATTTAAGAAAATAAGTCTTTTGTCATATTTTCATCATAAAATTAAAGTTCTTAAAAGCTTACTACCTTTTGGATAACATACTGCCGTTTCCTTAAAACAGACTTTAATCCTTTTATTACAGCTGAGTTGCCGGATGGCTTGATGACGAAAATCCGAGTTCGGGCTTGGAAGTCATCTAGTTTGCCTCAACCATCTGTTACAAAGACTTCAACTATGGGTAACGGGCAAAGAACAATCGAATTCGAGCATGGTTTTGGAGTGTATCCCGATCTCGTGATATCAAGGACAAGATATATTAACTCTATTTGTAATTTTTTTCGGAATGGTTACTCAGATTCAATAGGTATGTAGCAAACATATCATATGAATTTATAAAATACAAGCCAATCAAATAACAACCTAATAGATAGTTACAGTCTTCTTTTTCAGGACGGCCTTTTTCACTAGAAGGTTATATTCTCATGCTTAATTTGTGACAAAACTTTTGAAGACAGTTGAAATATGCTCATAAATAGTTTTCACCGCATGATGAAATATATTAAATTCGAATAAAATCATGCAATTTGTAACCTTTAAACGCAAGAAAATGCCGGTTAAAACTTTATAGTAAACACTATGTTGATGGCATTGGTTTTAGCTTTCATAAAAAACAGCGTTATAGGTTTGTCATTTGTTGTAATATTCATCTAATAAAAACCTACTTAATATTGACGCCATATGATTTTAGCGTTCTTATTACGTAAAACAGAGATATAATATGCTAAACATGTAAGGTTTCTGATAAGTTATGACCTTATGTTTGTAGCGGTCATATATTGTAAAACATTCATGTGCGTATGTAGTAGGTTGTTTGCAGCGTTCGTGGAACGAACAGAAAGCATCCTTGCAGCGTTTATTAAACATAATATACCACTTTGCATATAACATTCATTTAGTACCATTGACTTACTAGTTTTTATGCTGCTGTGAAAAAAGGAATAGGTGATTTCTTTCGACCTATTACTACTTTGATTAGAAGCAAGTAAGACTTTGGCATTTGCGTTGTCAAAACCAAACTATTTTAGGCAGCTATGGTATGCTATGTTATGCTAAATACATACTGTATAAAAATACTTAATTATATCAATGTTGAAAAAAAAACCCGGATATAATATATTTTTCAGGTTCTCCGATTCAGTTGCTTGCCGACTCACCCGAGAAAACTGGTTATGTTGCCTATGAATATGATAAGCAAAATGTATATGTTAGCAAAGCACCTGGTTTGTCACACACCTTGATTAATTTTACCTTATTATACTTACTCACACAAGCCAAGTGTAATTCCTACGTCATTAAAGCCATTATTCTCGAATCTTTGCAAGAACTTGTTTATTTGTGCCAATTTTGTTTATAATCGTGTTTGTAAGATATCTTAGTTTGTTCTAAATTGAGGCACGGATAACAGTTCGAAACTATTTATATTCTATACTTTTGTTGGGTTTTTTTCCCCAAGAAGAATCGTCTTGCTTTCAAATACTCATTTGTGATTATAAACAGCGTTAGTAGGTCTTTTTATAACGTCAAACACAAAAGAGAAAGCCATGCTCTGATGACAATTTTCAATCATTTTAGAAGTTTTAGTTGCTGGTGATGGGACAGACAGTGAAGAGACAATTATCACAGACGGTTTGTTAGAGGTGTTTATCTGGAATTCTACAGATTTGCAAGCATATACGGACAAAAGTTTCTTCAATTATGATTCTATAAAAATATCAACGGTACCAGGAATGAAAATGGATGATCAGACAAAGTTCATTGAATTATTGAATGGCACTGTTCAAGCTTTTGATGTTGTGATTAACAAGTCAATCCCTGTAAGTGATTTGATTCACAAGGAAATGACACTTGGTCGATTTTTAAACGAATCATTGACAGTAGGTGAATTTATAAATACAACCCACATTAATGACATAATCAAATCTGAAGACAGTATTACCCTTAAACAGCTTATTGAAATGTCAGAATCAATCAGAATTGTTTTGGATGGAACAGTGACTCTTGGTAATTTACTAGATACAAGTTTGTCTACAGGATACGGCGTTGATAATAACTTGCCTATCGCTCAAGTGCTTAATACCACTTTAAAAGCTGAAATTCCGTTAAATGATACAATTTTCTTAAATGAATTTATAGATAATTCTATCAAAATTGACACAGTTATAAATAAAACCGTTTCTGTTAAAGAATCATCTGAATATTTTGCACTATTTGACGAGTCAATGGAGCTGGACAATATTTTTAATGATGATTCAATATTTTTCTCATTGCGTGAAATATATAAATCGAGTAGATCGGTTAATGACAGTGTAAACAAATTTGATAACTCTGTTTACGAATTAATTGAAAGCGGACACAACTTGAAAATTATTTTTCTTAACGACGGCAATCAATTTAATGAAACAACTCAACTACTGGAATATCTTGAGGACATAGCCAACAAGCTAGATACAATTCAAAATATGTTTCCTCAAATGAGAGAATCGGCTGCAAACTTAGACATTGACAATAAAACTTTGAGAAAAATAGTTAATGAAACTTTTACTGTCAGCAACTTGATGAATGAAACATTTAAGTGTTTTTCTGATATTAATGGAATGCTGGAACAGATGTTTGACTTGGCATCAACCAAATCTGTCTTTCCAGATTTAGTTGAGTTTAACAAAACCTTTGCAGAGTCCTCCTCTCTTTGTTATATGCTTAAAACTAAAGTTGAAATATTGTTGGGTGATACAATTACATTTGCTAATATCATCATTGAGGACGGTACTGACTTGGACGTTCAAATTCTAGATCTGATAGGTACAAATGTCTATCTAGGAGATTTATTGAACTCATCGATGTATTTGAAAGACGTTCTGCACAGTTCAGTTACACTTCACGAATTAGAAATGGCTGGAAATAAAGTATGGACATATTTTGACAGAAACATGCTGATTTCTGATATCATCAATGATCATGGCAATTCAGTTAATTTGGTTGATATCTTGGTACAATCTGACGAAACAAAAAGCCGAGCATTGCAACCAGATCATCACGTTCCATTTATAACTAGTGACTTGGACAGTGTCTTAGTTAGAACGTTCGTAAGTAATTTAAACCATTTGAAATAAAAATTGATAAGTTGAAGATAAATTACTTAAATAAGCATGCATGTGTATTAACAGGTCACTTTCACTTGTATTGAGCCCTTAGGGCAATGAAGCTGTTTTAAACTGTATAATGTATATGTCTTCTCTATATCAATCTTTGTCCTATTAACAATTTGCAAGTATCATATATTATGTTGTTGATCATTTTAAATTCATGTCATGTCAGTTCTTCTTCTGAACATTTTATGTCCATTTTATCCTACTTTTTTGTTACTGATTCGGCCATACTTTACTTTTAAAAGATAATATTTTATTATGTTTATGCCAGACGGAACAAAAAAGAGAAATAAAATATTCAATATTTCATAGTTAATTGATAAATTTATTTCTATTGGTAAATGGATTTACAAAAGCTCGAACAATTCTGGTTCAAATTGTAACATGTCGTATATGACACTAATTTGTAAGCATCAATTTTGACAAGTTTTGGTTTGCAGCTTAGTCTGTTGAAAGCGATATGCGCTAAAAGATAGAGTACCACGACAAGTATGCCAAATACTTCCAAGGGAAAGATAGACTTAACTACATCTTTAATTTATATTGAAGGTGCAATCATATGACACACAGAATACGGACTTACGGACAACAGTTACTGGTACCTTACAATGGTATGAACACATGGTAATGCAAGCGCCTTGCCATTTTGGTGGTATGGTTTCTGGCTACACTCAAGACGGTGTCGGGATCTGGTATCCTGCCAAATATCCTGAATGTTCAACCCTGTGCAAGGAAACAACTGAATGTGACACTCAGTGCCAGACTGAAACTATAAATTTACCTCATTTTAACCAAACTTTTATAACCAAAGTATGGAATATAGGTATTTATTTTATGCTTCTCAGTGGATTACTGATTTTTCCGTGAAAATTATCAAAATATAATTTCACACTTTTCAATGACGAAACTACTTTTTTAGATTTTCCCCATATTGTACTCGTGAACTTTAAAAACAGTATTCTCACTCGTGGCGACGCTACTCGTGAGAATACTGTTTTTAAAGCTCAATCGAAGAAATAAAATTTCATCTTACACACAAACAAACAAATATCCTCTATGATTTTCCATTTACAATGCATAGATTTTAGCTTTATTCTAAAAAAAAACATTTTAATGAACGAAATGAAGACCAAAGATTAAGTCCTCAAACATCACGCTCAGTGCTGTAAGAGAGAAAATATAGAGTATATTTTAACAACCGTTCTAACGAGGTAGGAACGATTTTAAACAAGTATGTCTATTTTATAAGAATAATTGTTCAATGTTTATGCCTTTTACATAGTCATTTCTTTACATTATTGTTCTTATTATTTTGATGGACATTGCACGAATTCCACGAGAAAGAACCCAAGTAACATTAATTTTGGAATACCCCTCGTACTAGTCTCATAAAGATAGATGAAGCCGGTGATGCAATATTCTTCTCGATATTCCATTATGATATGGTCGTATGACTGAAGTCTTAAAACGTTTTGATACCCCTTTAAAAATTAGACAAAATTCGTCCTGCTGTCTACCCACTACCAAAGATGAAAAAAGTAAAACTTGTTTATTTCATTAATGTCCAGTCGAATTCAACGAAAACACAAATAATTTCCGGAAGAATACTACGACCGTTACATTAGTATATATACTGATTGAATCTTCGTGATACACAATAAAATTCCCAGGTTTCAAAAATCTGGGTATTTTATGGCTTCAATTCTTTTTTGCAGAAAAAGATTACTGTGCCAGTAGCCCGTGTAAACATGGTGGAGAATGTACCAATCGTCCCCAGTCTTTTAAGTGTTCATGCAAAGACGGCTGGAATGGTTACTATTGTCATAAAAGTAATTTTTTTTAAATTTTCTTACTTTGTAAAGTTAAACCCCATGTTTATGCAATGTTTCAGTCACACTATGGCAGGTTTTCAATTGTAATCGGATTTGATTTTTGCTCGTATCCGTTTGTATACAAGTAAATGTTCTCCGCATAAATCATTTTCAATAGCTGGGCAGTTTAATGCTGGCCTGTGACAAACCTTTGTAAACCAAATTATCACAGTGAAACAAATCGCCCATCCAAGACTATAACAAACGAATTCAAAGGTCTGTTACAGTCCCATGAATTCTTTGAGAGTGCAACCATACATTTCATTCTTAATGTGCTGTAGTATCGTATGCATTATTTGACAAGGCAGAAATATTACATGTTTTTCTTAAAAATGTATTGTTTAGAATTCTACCGTTTACGCTCGCTAGGGACGCCATTATTATTTTTGGTTGCTCACCATACAGACAATGTTCACTAACACAGACGCTTTATATGATTACATCCGACTTTCAAAGGTTTTGGTTATATGAAGTACTATGCACACCCAAAGCAAACAAATAATCGTTTCGGTTTGATTGAACCTTATTTCAAAAGATCTTTCGTGCATCAACCCTTTCAAGACAGTTAACAGCGCATTTATCAGTTCAGATTTATGTACTAGATTAATTATGGAAGGTAGTGTTTATGTAAATGTTAATGTCCAAGTCCTCAAACATCGTCTCTCTAACACTGCACATTGGAAACCTCTAACAAAATTTTATTTTACTGTTTATTGCCTATACAATGTTTACATGTTTTATTTATTCAGATATAAACGACTGTATTGGACAGTGCATGAATTCTGTTCAGTGTATTGATAAAATAAACGATTATACTTGTGTTTGCAAGCCAGGATGGACTGGCAAGAACTGTAGTTTAGGTAATGCGTTTTAAAAGTCATTTATTAGCAAAGTTAATTTCTGTCTTGAATTCTTGATAATAAAATGAACAATTAATGAGTCATTTATAAACTTAAATAATGTGTCCTACTATCTTAATAATTGTAATGATAAAATACATGACCCGCGATAAGTTGTGTAACTGCTTCGTTTAGATTTTTTTTATTCATTATACAAATTTACGATGTATTTGTAATTTTAAAATTCCACAAGTAAAAACAAAGCAGTTCATCATGTCTTTGAAGAAAGTTCAATTACATTTTGCTTGATTATTTTCAAATAACTAATTGCTTTTATAATTGTTTATTTTTTATATTTAAACAATAATATACTTGACCTATTTCCTTTATTTACAGGAGAAAGACCCTTCAAAGTTCTTGCTATAGAAGGTAAATAGTCTCTTAAAAAGAAAAGTATTTCATTTCTTGTAATTCATTTTTCTCAAAACGTCTACCGCTGGCAATGCTAGGTCTTACTGTACATTTGTAGATGATTTGAGCATAACCAAAATCAATGAAATTAAACAATCCCCTGAAAATACTTTTTCACATAGCACGTATTATGGCTGCCATTTCTTGAGTCATTCCTAAAATACTATGTGTTTCAGTTTAGATCTGTCATTATGTTATCTTCGTCTAACTTTATTTCAATCTTTTAGGTATTAGTTTTATATCAGCTTTTTATTTTGCTTTTTTCATGGCTGCATCTTTTGTAAATATTTTAAAAATATCTACAAGGATCTTCCGAAGTATAAATGATTTTTTAAATCCCTGTTCCGATTCCTTTCGTTTAAGGTTCAAGTAAACATGAAAGGGAACACAGATCTACTGATGAAAGGTTTGATTTGACTGAGACAGGTAAATAGGATAAACAAATGATATACATGTGACAATGTTTTACCACTACCGTTCATAAATAGGCAATATTAAATCGAGTCTGCAACATTTTCAATAATGTCGGTTTGGGCATTCTTTAAGGATTCCATTTTTTCTCGATTCTGTTATCAAATCATATAAGTGAAAATATCATTCGTAATGATTATAAACATACGATACTCGATATTTAATAAAAAATGTGTTTTTTTTTAAAGATGTGGGGCATGTTTCTGAAGTATTTCTGATGATGAAAATATGTTTCACTGAAGTAAAAAATTAAATATTTTTTACTGTGATGAAAATGAAAGTACGCATTTTATTCCATTAATCATTCTCACTATTTCATTTATAAATATGTAATAAATACCAGATCCTCTAATCAATATAGAAACACATTAGTAGCAATATCTATAAAATTATTTTCATTTACGATGCAATATGTTTCAACGAACTTGAATTAAATGAATATTTAATTATTACTTCGCTAGATATAATTTGTTATTATAATAGTAAAGTAACTGTCATCACGAGAATAACTAATTCGTGTTTTATTGATGCATGTACTTGACAAGTAAGCTATTTGTTGCTACACTGGCTGATTTTTATCATGTTATTGTATTTTCGCCTGGAGACTTGCGGAGCGAAAATACGTAATGCATAGATTCCTTATCAAGATATTAAATGAAATAACAACTGGTAAAAAACAAACAACAACGTTGCAGATTGTAGCGAGATTATTTTATTACGAGATTTCCATTCAATAATATTTACATAAAAAAATGTTTAAATCATATCACTATCAAAACTAAAAATGGTCAGACATTTCAAAAATATGGTAAAGCTGAAAGAAAAAAAGTTCAGAAAGGTTTGATCTTACATTTTATGTCAGGATTACTGCCCCCCTGCTTAAAACACTTCTTTATATTTAACCGCCCCTAGAAAACAATAAAAACAACAAAAATAAAACCATATCATCTGTGGAATTTCACAGAGGAAACATTTAAGGTTAGCCTCCGTCCCATTCCTCGGAATGGGACTCGTTTCAGACATGCTAACTTCTATATCAACCACATATAGGTAAATATATTCATTTAATTAACATATTTGAAACAAAACTTTATATAAAGCATAATTCATCTAAGTTTAAAAAAATATACTCCTTAAAATTAAATGCTAATGAAATTGTTACACAGTTCGCTAAAACTGATTTTCACACTACGCCATACACTAAGAATTTTGATTGTACGTCTTTACTTGTCGGTATCAATAATGTATATACAATAAACAGTGTTCATGATATTTTTAAACGATTCATACTCTCTTCTGCTTGGAAAGAGCTATTAACATACCAGCATAACTTGATAACAAATATTTCAAAAGATATCATTTTTCGTTTTAGATCGAAACTTTTCTATGCTTTGGTTTAAGATTCAATAAATAATGTTGAAATTGTAGATGTCAATAATGCTGAAAGTCTTGTAATTCTTGGGACAAGTGAATTTGATATAGTAACTTTTTCTATAATCAACTCAAGTAAGTAAAATTTAAATTATTATTCACATTTATTAAGAACATATCCATTTTAGGTTAGTGTTCATAAGAATGTATTTACAAAACTAAATTGGTAAAGAGCGGCGCAATAAGATTGCAGTATTTCAAATGAATCATTACACATTAACTGTAGTGAATCGGCTTAAAAAAGCCCAAAACAAAGACGTATGACACAGTAGTTGTTTAATATCTTATCATACATATACAAAACGCTATTGACCAAATTTATTGTGTAAATGCTTGCTAATTTACACTACCTTGATACATAAAACTTGATTTTAATAAATAGTGAAGTTCTAATGTTACGACACCATTTTATGTAAAGTACCTTTCGAACCTCAATTTCCATTGCACAATGTGGCAAACATTTTAATTATTTTTAATGTTTGTCCAAGATTATATTTATATCATAATAATTGTCTATGCACTGTATTGAAACCTGTCAAATAATTTTGAAAAAATTTACATATTACGTAAAATTAGCTGATCACACCACTCGCTTTTGTTGGTATAACTTTCTTGTTTACAGTTTACATATCATTTGCAAGTAGTTTTCTTATTGTTTAAGGATATGCTTGCACAAAGTATGTACATGCAGTTGATATAAAAAGTTTGGACACACCCCAAAGTGTATCTGTGACCGTAGACATGCTAGTAACTAACTGTAATTCACAAACTTTATCCTGCTCAATACTTTGGGGTGATGGAAGCAAAACCAACTTGAACGTTTCGTATGAAGTTGAACAACTGAACCACACGTATTTAAATGTAAGTTACTTTTTACTCAACGAGTGCTACATGTTAGTGACAGGAGTATAAAGCTTTACCATGCTCTGTTTCTGCTAAAATAACTTTTTGACTTCCTTACATTACAACGGTATTTTAGTACGACTTTCAGTTAGGAAATTTGACAATTAAGGACAGATTATGAATCACAATTTGAGTATTGATACATCTGTTCATCTATTTTTTTCAGTCATGTTTTAAGATAATTTTGTATTATAACATTGTAAGCGTAGGTCACATATAGGCCAATAAGTGTCTAACTTTTATTTTATTTTTTTATAAAATTAACAATTGCGTGTATCTAGCTTAGTATACAAAAACAAACCATTTCTTTTATTCAACGCATACAAACATGTTTATATTTATTCAAAACTCCCTGAAAAAGTTGATTTTCTGTTCTGAAATAATTTTAACAAATATTAATTATTAACATGTATGTAAGTGAATTGTTTATATTACAATGACATCAACTTTTATATTATTTTAAGTATGGGGTATATGAAATTCAGACCGAATGTAAAGACGGGTACGGAACAATCACTCGTTGTCCAGAAAAGAAATGCTGCATGGATTCAGACAATTTCTTGGATGACTTGTACAACGATTTTACAAAACCAAAACGTGTTTTAGCTGACAAAACAGTTGAAGTATATAACTTTTCTTCCTTTTATATGCCTTTTTGACTATCAATGACATTTTTATGTGGAACTAGTTTCCATTTATGTGTGAGGTTACATAATCTTCTTTCAGATATTTAATTATATCAATAATTTAATGTTTTCAGTAAAACGTCTCACGCAAAGGTCAAGCAGAAGTAACCGAAGCTCCAGATTGTTCTTAATTTAGTCATTTGACATATTTAATTCCCAGCTTATTCTTTTTCAATGATTATTAATCTGATGTTTTTTCGTCATTTCAGATCAATAGCTATGATGATATCAACAGAACATGTGTAGGTGCCGAGTATCATTGGCGGTTTGTTCAAGTCTCTGGAAATACACTTATGCCATTTACGGACTTCATTCAACCAAAATCGAGAAACTTAGTACTACCTAGTGGCACACTAAGACCAGGGATTTATGTTGTCATTCTAGAAGTAGTTTTAGATGGATCGTGGTTCAATGATTTTATTGTGATGGAGGTTACCTTGCCAGAAATATACACATTTATACCAGGCGGTGACTTTTTATACGTGTCGCACGGGGAAATTGTTTATGTGAATGCTTCCGATTCATGTGATACGGTTGGTGTCTTAAATTATGCTGATGAGTCAAAGTTAGTAACAAGTTGGACTTTTGAACTTATTTCATCAGAAACATCTGATGATGCAGTTTATAGTCTTATAAACAACCAAAGATCGAGTGTAGGTAAAAGATACGAAATTCAAATCGGAAACGTGAACGTTCTGGAGATATTTACACAATATTTTCCAATCAATTCCTATGGTGTTGCTGTATTTACGATGTCAAAAGGAAGCCGAATTTCAACAGCCTTTCAAGTCTTAAAGTTTGTTGAAAATATACTACCTGCATCAATAAGGTAAGATAATTATTACAAAACATAATTAAGATATGGTACTGCTCCAAGAACCTTTGTTATTGATTCAAATGTCGGGCAAATGTTTTAATCAAAATACTCTTTCAGGAGATACTTCATATAAACTAATGCTTGATAAGATTTACGAGGCTTACCTAACTTTTCTAGCTGGAACTTACCATTATAAGATTGCACATGAAGAGTCATCTTAAAAATCAGCGATATTGTCATTGTTCTCACTATTAGAAATAAATTAAATTGCCTAAATGAATTGAGATTAATCTGGTTACGTACCTGATAAAAAATGCCTGAATAACATTTTGATTCTTCAATTCAGTATAATATTACATACTTATTCTCTTCGGCACATGTCATATTTCTAGTAAACCGATAAGGAAAAGTTTTGAAAATTATCTTTATCGACGAAAAGTAGTCGTATTCAATGCTATACCCAGGTCTTCATTCTCACAAACGATCTTGAGAAGCAAAGACTTTGCAGGAAATATGAGCATTAAAAAGAAAGTTCCAACAGCCCTATGTGTAAACCGTCCGCTAACCATGATAGTACCTATTCACACATGTCCGTCATGGCATTCATTATTCATTTGCATAATTCTGCGATACTTTTGCAAAATGCACGTGTTCTATTCACATTCTTGCGGTTTTTCAAGATAACTGGGTGGAACTGATGATGTTCAAAATACTATCATATATGTTTTGCGACCTATTACTTTTTTGAAGTTTGGTAGAGTTTAAATCGGCCTCTATTGATGTAGTTCCTTTTCGCAAGTGTATTCATGTGATTTTGTAATATTTTTGAAGAATAATGAGTTGTGTACGTTCGAGCGCGGGGTTAGAAGTACATTCTATAACTTCGATTGTAATGTTGTCTTCATTACCTACAATTGCAATGTTTACCTTTTTACTTTTGTTTTTTTCTTTAGCTGCGTATACAACTGCAATGCAACGCACGGTGGCTTCATCAATTTTGACATGCTGACACTCGATACACAGGTCAATATGACCGCTAATTGGACATTTTTCAAGTATCAATGGAATGTTTATACCTGGATAAATGACACTTTTGCCTGGCTTGAGGGAGTGATTGATAAAACAGGTAAACACTTAAAAGCCTCTTCTCCGAGATTCTTGCGAATAATGAAATTGCTTATACGCACATAATAATTAAAGGTAAAACATTCACGATATTATTTCTGCCAATTGGTGTTAGCAGATTGAATTGAGCAGGAGTTCTACATGGTTAACATAGCAAAATACTAAGAACTGAACATGTTGCAGACTCAGTTCGATTAAATTTCAGAGGTATCGCTGTAGACATGGTAGCACTGTGTTATAGCATGCTTTAGATTACATTGTATTTGGCATTGTATGACATTTTTCTCTCTATGTTGTAGGCGAACAGTCAATGACAATACACAAAGATAAAATATTAGAGGGTAATACTTACATTTTCGAGGTCAAGGTCACTTCAGCTGATCGGAGGTTGAGCAATACTGTTGCTGTTAAAAGAACCTTTGATTATGTTCCGCATGGAGGCACGTGCGTAATTGATAAATCTAATGGTAAGTTTTAGTTCCTGTTGATTTTCGCTGATGAAACAACATGATATAATGCTCATTCATTGAAGTGTAGTTCTAAGGATTTCACAATTGAATAAATTGACGCTAATCATCATATCCCCTCCGACCCAACAAACATACATTCTGGAATAATCTTACCTTATAGCGTTTAATGCCGACCTATTATTACTCAGGAGAAATACTCAAATTCAAAGGAGGTATTTTCATTATCAAACGTCATAATTGTTATTCATGAAAGGAACCATACCTAACAACGTAACTTTCTTTTGCCTGTTTTTTTAAATAAGTCTGTAAAATAGCTTTAAGACTATAGGAGATATCATCACGAAACTTCATAGTTGAATAAACATTAGTAAGGAAATGTGCAGTGTGCAGTATAGCTACAGGTGAGACAATGTGCCTTATGGGGCTATGGCAATGCTACTTTTAGTTTATTGTTTCAGAACTGTTATAAATTGTTTACATCCGTTGAAAAGTTTGGAAATTATATATTTATATCATCAAAGGGTTAACACAAAAAGCTGATAATAGAAAATAAAGTCAAGTTACTAAAAATACTCTTAAAAAAGTGTTGTTTTTTTCTACATAGTGGAGTCTGCATTCGACTTGGTACAATTACGATGTAAGTCATGGAGCACCCGGAGTAGAAGGTTGACAACAAATAACATCATAAATAAAACCCCTTCACTTACTTATACAGTCCTACAAGTAACAGATGGTGCTTATAATGAAAAGGAACGCATAACACAGCGGGGTAATCACTGTTATAACGTTATGATTGTGTGCAAAAACGGAATAATTTTCATAATCTATACCTCAAAGGACCAGTCTCTCAGCCCTGATCGTGAATTGAAGTAATGTCATTTCGTAAGGTCAATTCACGCCAAAAGAAAATACTGATGTGTTGCTATAAAATATAGATATTGAGGTAAATTACCCTTATATTCTATCCTGCATTATACTACCAATTCGTTTAGAAAGCTAGACGCAAAACTTGGTTAGACATCCTAATGTATCACGTCACGTTTTTTTATAAATAGTTTAATATACACCCAGAGGAACTTATAACCTGGCACACTTTTCGGTATAAATTAGTTATTTGTGGACATATTTTATTCAAGTCAGGACCATACAAAATTCAACATATGATACTAACTACTTAGAATTTTGTTTACAAATCATATACAAGAAAATAGAAAAAAATAACAGAACAAATAGGATACTGTAAAATGAAAAATCCCAGAATGGCTGTTAAAATCGTAACAAAATTAACAGTCTCTGAATCGCGCTAAATCTGTATGTGAACCAGTTCTTTGAGTCAATACTATTTCCGTCCCTACAACTATAGCAAGTATTTTCTGAATCTTCACACATGCCCTGTAGATGATAAATGTAGGTCAAGGACCAATTCACATAGCTGAAACTTTATTTTCTTTACTTTACTCAAGCCCGGACCGAGTATTGAACTACAAGACGATTATGAGCGATTTATCCCGTCAATGTTCTTTCAAAACTGATGAGTTAATAATAAGAAAAGTTAGACCATTATCATTTGAATGCGTTTTGTTATTGTGTTTTTCATAGAGGGGCAAATTTTAATCAGTGGTACCATGATATGCACGTGAAAGTACATGTTGGAAAGATTAATGATTGTTCTAACCAACAGTCTATTTTTGCACGATTTACACGTGCATTAAAATTTTAGCAGGTCATTTAGATACATGTGTTTTTGTATACTGGTTATAAACATGGAGTTGAATTATCATTTTAGAGAGGAGCAAAGACCTTCGCAGGTTATAAGGTAAATGCGCGTCAGAAATAATAACGGATCTAGATTTAGATTATGGAGAAAATGTCCTTCCATATCGTACTATTGCCGGCAAGTTTCAATATTAATTTTAAGGATGATTTCCGCCTTCGGCGGCTAATTTTTGCTACCTCTGAGAAAAACATCAGGACTGTCAAAAACATAGTTGATGAAGATGCAAGGTATACCGTGGAGACGGTAAGTGACATATCGGGCCTTAGTTCGCCATATGTGTTTTCCATCTTGATAGAAAAATTAGAGTTAGGGAAAATATGCGCCCTTTGGAACCCGCAAGGACCCGGCTGAAAAAGCCTCGGTCTTATTGACGAGGTTCAAAGATCCTAGACCCTCGACGATTGTGAGAAATTGTCTCAGGGGATGAAACGTGGCGTTATTCTTTTTGAGCCTAACAATAAACATAATAAAATGTGGGTAGGTAAAAGTAGCGATCGCTCAGTTGTTGCTCGACGTGCAGAAGCTTTAAAAGAGTTATCGAATTTTGACAGTGATGGAATAGTGGCCCGTGACGCTGTGCCCCAGAGGGGTAGTGTCACTTGAACATTTTATAGTGGTCATGTACTCACTGCCGAAGTTAATCACTACTTTACAACAAAATACCCAAGGTCCAGGGTGCGCAAGATAAAATTACCCCATGCTTATGCACCTGCCACCGGTCAGCTTTGGTTCAAGCTTATTTAGAGGAGCAGAGAATTGACGTTTTGCTACATCCCGCTTATAGTCCTGACCTCTTTCCTTGTGACTTTTGATTCAATCCATACATCAAATCTTGCCTTTGCGGTTACCGGTTCGAAACTCTCAGTGCCGTCGGAAGCGCCCTCTACCAGTTAATAAGCAATATACCCAAATTACAAAATGCGCTGCCGTTGCCACTAATTAAAATATACCCCTCGTAATTTACCCGTTAGATTGAATATAATTATAAAAGAACTACTTGGTCGGCCAATATTTTAACGTAAGGATATTTTCATTATTCATCGTTTAGTTAAAAGATTTGAGTTGCGGTCGGAAAAAATCGCATCATCAGCAATTTGTCTAGTATACATCACATAGCTTTGTAAAAGCCTTATATACTTAAAAGAATAAAAGTGTCACTGAGACAAATATTAAACAAGTGGATAGATTTGCATAATACATTATTCAGAACACCTTTGTTTGAAATATAATTCATAGGTGAACGGGAGGCATACGTTATACTAAAACTAGGAAACCCGGAAAGAAATTACGAAACATCAATCAGCATCCGTATAGCAGATATTTACAACAACTTCAATGAAGTGTTCATTCTAAACATTGTGGTAAGTCAATAAGATCGAAATTATCTGTTTGTTGTCTTAACTAAGATTGTTCATATTTGTTCCTTCATATTCAGAGAAAATGGCTTATGTACATAAATACATATTAACAATAAACATATTGATTTAATTGACGGAGTTTATGACAATTTTAAACTTTACATTAGTATAAATATGTGCTTAACTCTTCGTCTCTTATTTTAAGTTCTGACCATTATTTCAGTCAAGGCCCGTTTTTAATATCAAAGATATAGATACAACGGAATCAGGAGCTCAGGTTGTTCGTGACTATATCCATGGGAAATATTCTGTAGTGTTGGACCTTCTGATATCCGCCATAAATAGACCTGCTCTCACAATGTATTACATTTCTGCCGTGTGTAGTAATGTATACTTCATAAAGGTAAGTCATAGCGAAAATAGAATATCGTTAGGGCGTTTAGATTCCTATATCAATTCCAATCATAATCAAGGTTGTCTCAAATTTTATTTCATACCAGTGAAGGCACATAAAAGCACACTGGATAGTTCAAATTATTTAAAGCATAGCAACCAGTGTCCATGTGAAAGTTTCGTTTTCATCCACATACCAAATATTAATTCTTGAATGAATTTGGTCATTAAATTAATGGCATATATACCTCAGAAATGCTTTTATTTTATTTCTCAAAAGACTTAATTTTGGTGAACTATTATAGTATCCAAAAGATTTCTCATTGGCCAATTACCAAACATTTCCTTTTTCATCTGTTGCTTTTTGGCAGTTAGTACAGGTTAAGGCAAATAATATTTTGTATGGAAGTCAAAATACAACTTTGTTCAAATTTTGCTACTTTCATGACAAATTATTTCTCATTCACCATTACTTTCTTCAGGTAACAACTATGTAATACTCTCTTAAATCATTTTTTTAACAAATTGAAATTATCATTTGTGTTTGCCCCTTTTTAATTTGTTTCTGAGGCATTACGTGGATTGCAATATTTGTTTTAAATAAGAAAAACAAATAAATTTTAAAGACAAATAGACTTATGTTTCATATTATTAGTATGGAACCTCCGTGGTCGAGGGGTTAGAGCCGATGACTTCTTATCCAATTACCTCTCTGGCGTGGGTTCGATCCCCAGGAGATGCTTTGGTAGTTTAGCACGGAGGAAGGTAGTCTAGTACTGGTGTAACTCTCCAGGAACGATGGTTAGGAAACTACCCGCCTATATGACTGAAATACTGTTGGGAAAAGGTGTAAAATGAAACAAACAAACAAACAAACAAAAAATGGCACTATCTTTCTTTAATTTTCAGTTAAAGGAAAAAGAGCCTGTTGTTCAAAGCGTTTTAAACGCGGAAGGGAATGGCGTAATTCTTGACCTGTCAAAATACGGAAATAGTAATATAACGAATTTGCAAGACACGCTGAAGGAGGCCTTGAACAAAACACTGAATCCAACAACATTAACATTGCAAGAGGTAAACGTATTTCTGTTTCCAGTGGTTGTTTCTGTCTTGTACTTCATAGGAAATGTTTTGAGTGTTATAGGCGCCAAAAATGAACTCGGCAAATAATAACAATGCAATATGCTAGAAAATATTTTAAAAAAGTATCCATGACATATACGTATATATTGACTATTGCATTTTGCAGACGACCAGATTGTATGTGTTGTAAGCAAACTAAGGAAGATAATTACGCCCCTGCTGTTTGTATAGCTTTTATTCTTGATTATATTGTATTTATACGATCAATTTAAAAAGAGATGTCTTTTATGATTTAAACTATTGGTGCGAATGGCAACGTGTTCGAACGATTTTGATGACAAACTTTTATTTTGAATTTAAGTAATAGCATGTCCTTAATATCCAGTATTAATTGTAAATATGTCTTATCAATTTTTAAATTATGTTTTACCTATTTCATTATTCATATACTCATTTAACATAGGTCTCCAGCTTAAAATGTAAAAAATGTTTGTTTGTTTGTTTCATTTTACGCCTTTTCTTAACAGTATTTCAGTCATATAGGCGGATGTAAAAAATGAAAATTTAATGAAAATACAAATAGGTTATTATAATCATACAGGGAGTAACATTGTAGTGTAAACATGAATAGTAAATTAGGAGATATTAAAAAATTTGTAGATCAATGGTTATGTTTAGGGGTTTTAGGTAATGTATTCAGTACATAAATAGCGTTTGTTTACATTAACAACATTTCAAAGAAAATGTTAATTGATATGATTGTATGATAATCTACCATCTTTACCATTTATCTATTCTTAATTTAGGTATGTATCAATTAGGTTAATTTAACATATTTTTCCGGGTTAGAGAGAACAATCCTTTGTATGAAATACAGGAACATGCAAATGTTCACCTCTATGTTGAAAATGCCAGGTGTCAACAATATCATAATTCAATTTTCAGTTCCTTAAAAACATGACAGACATTGTAACACAAATTTCTACGAAAGAAACAGAACACCCAGAGGTCATTACCGACAGAATGATGTTTTCTGTTGCAACAAACGCATTTTCAAATCTTGCAGCGAGGGCGGAATTCCTAGATGAAGCCACAACGGTTCGATGTTTTCGGTTTCAAAACAAGTCGAATTTTAGCTTGGAAAATGTTCATGTAATTTTATGTTAAACATGTACAAACCCTCCGGCCGAATAAATACAAACTTTATGAAGACGATTTCAATGAAATGATAACTGTCATCGAGAGTTATATAATTTTGGTATTTGGTTCAAAGTTGCTATTATTTTATATACATGTATATTTGTACTATATTCTTGTTTTTAACATAAAACATACATTTAACATGGTTTAATTTCAGGGCCGTTTAGCTCATCTTGTAGAAATCACTGGATCGATTAATTTATTTCTTGACAGTGCGGAAAATTTTCAAGAAGTCACTGATGGTAAACTTGTGCTTCTTTTATATTTATTCATTTTACATTCATTTACAAAAGGTTTTTGTCATGTTACAGGGTACGTTTTTAAAGAGCCTTTGATTCGATATTTACTTAGTAAATCAATAGAGTTATCAAACTACTTTTTTAATTTAGTCTGGTAAATTTGCATGACAAAATTAGCCGCGCATTTGAAATATTCAACTCAAAATTGAATGGATTTTGATATCAAAACACAAAATTTGCAATACTAACACTATAAATCCTGATCAGATAAGTGACGAAGAACATTCCGCAGTTTATTCTAACAGTTAACAAAACGTTGAAACAATCCTTTAATGAACATATTAATTTTCTATTTACAAACCGAACCCTCACTCTTCTTATATAGTTGGGAAATAGATTTCCATAGAGCTTGATTATAAACAGATTAACGTAATGGCTGATGATTCTCTACGATGCAATACATTTTAAACATTCATTTATTTACTGTCAATCATTTAAATAGCAATATTCTGTGCAGTTGTGTTTTTATGGATTAAATGCGCAAGTATAGAAAAATAAAATGCATTGAAATTTTGCACAACAGTTTTAGTCATACCTATTTTTACAATATATAGCATACCAATGATTCAGCTACGCATATATTCACCCAGAGACATATCAATGATTGTTTCAAATAGTTTTAAAACACTTCTGCCAGAGATATTCAAAATTATTATTTCAGAGACATTGAAAAACATTGGGCCAGAAACATTTAAATATATTGTTTCAGAGACTTTTAGAATGTCGATGACCGTATCTGGTGCTAGCGTATACAGTTCCCTTGACCAATACCGGTCAACTGAAGATATACACAGTGCAATGCATCAGATATGATAATATGGAAATGTATAAATATCAGTTTCATATGTCAGAATGTACATAATTGATATTGTGAACTTGATGTCATTGGCCTCCATCACCACCACCCCCCAAAAGCTTTTGATGGCCATTTTGAAATGTTGTCAACTCTATCAAGTGTAAATTCACGTTAGAATATGCGTTAATTTTCCACTATTGTGTTCCTCATTTCGTTCACATTATAAGATTTTGATACATGATAAACTTCCGTAAATTAAAACAGTAATTGGCTCTATAGCGAATGAAATTGATCAGTTATCATATCGGTCCATGTGCCTCCAGCCAGCTATCTCCTGGTCAATATGACCTCGGTATCAGCAACGGCTTCTATGGCCCCCAATCATCTATGGCCTCGGTCAAATACCAACTTGCTCGTAGTTAACAATTGCGTACATGTTTTTATTTTCATCACAGATTGACGACATGCTATCTATTGTTGGACACGACTTGAATATCTATACAGCAACCTTATCCCCGCAAGAAAGAGCACTACTTTACTTGAAATTGCAACGACAACTTTATATGTTCATAGATGAAGCGAAAGAAAATGTAATATTCCATATAAGTATTGCTGAACAAATTAAAACAAAATGTTGTCGGTATATTTTATGTTTGAAATGTCTTTTTCACTTTCAAACATTGATTTCTTCTGGATACGCTCTTTAATTCAGTTTGCCTTAATTACAAGAACGACAGCAGCAGCAGCATCAACAACGACGACGACGAAGACAACAACAACAACAACAACGACAACAACAACAGCGTCTGATACCACTGCATCTTATAAACGATTTAAAATAGATACAAAACCTCTATTGTTATTGCCAGATTTGAATGAGTCAAAATGAAACAGAAAGATATATACTAATTATTTGATCGTGATGTTATCGTTTTCCATTGAATATTTATTTTTGTTTTGTTGAATTTGTACACAATTGTAACGAAATATTATTAGATTTATTAAGTTTCGGTATAAATACAAAATATTTGTAACATAAGTGATCATTTAGGTTAAATATACATGTTCATTCTGTTGATCTTTATTCTTTTTTTCTACCTTCTGTGCGATCTTCAATTGTTCTGTTATTTTACAATGATTTTGTACTACAGGCAAAAGCCGCTGCACATTCAGCAGCCAGTTTGGCAAAAGATATTCAAGATAGAATAAAACAATGCCAAGATTGTGATAACCATGCTTCCGGCACAGATAAGCAGTTATTGAAAAACACAAATGCATGTAAACTTAAGAACGAAATGACAAAAACCAAAACATCCGCCTTCAATCTAGATGGTATTGATTTGCATGATAATAAGAGTTGTGACCAAACACAAGTATCAGTATCGGTAAAATTTTACAAGTTTTGAATAAGTTTTTTGACTTTTAAGAATAAGAAATTCCAGCATCACATAAAATGTTTTACATTTTTCTTAGCAAAAAGGAGAATTCAAACGTGAATTTAGAGTAGCTTTATTAAAAGAAGTACATTACAGGTATTTAAAAACAAAAACGACAAGTTTTATCTACTTTAATAATGCTTTATTGAGCAAACAACTTTGATACTTTGCGTGATAGTATATCAATTAATCATAGCCAAAAAGTTATTGATAGTAATTCATAGTATATATTTCTAGGCATTTGAGTTCAAAGACAATGTGTACATGTATGATAATGACGGAACATCAAGTCTTATAACCTCAAGTGTGCTACGATTAGACGTAAAAACAGCTGAGCAACGCGTTACAGCTAAACATATAACTTTTGAACAAAAGGTCATTACTCCAAAACCAATACATATCACACCTCATGTGGACCAGGAAGACGCCTCTCAATTTATGTACCATAAATTCCTGTATCAAAAAAGTACTGACAGTGTTTGTGTCGTTGTTCAACCTCTCGGAAATCAGGATCTAAAAAGTTATCTTATTTATATAAAATTCAGCGAACCTCCTTCTCTAATTGATTATGATCTCAAATTCCGTGTGTTTGAAAACACGAATTGGCAAGCGTGCATTGATTCACATCGTATGAAAGGACACACTGGAGTTACCTATTTGGCAATAAGTTTTCAAGGAATTAGTGAGTAGCATGTTCATTATATTAAGAGACACTTGCTTAATGATTATTTTTGGAATCAGCCTCCGTATATGAGTAAGCATTTCTGATGTAAGTAGGTTTGAAAATATATGTAAACGAATGATGATCATTGTTTGAGTGACAAATGTCAAAAGATCACTGAGCATAACTTTTGTAAGTATTGATTAGCATAAAAAATGGAGATAGAGTATTTCCTATGACAAGTGGTCGTTTCTATATGAATGGTAGAGTAAAACATTTGTAAAAAAATGTCATAAAAATGGATGAAATACAAAAGGCATGTTAAGTAGAGTGAAACAAGACATTAAATATATTGCAAACATTGAACTATGCATTCATATGCCATTTATTTTAATAATTACAGGTGTATCCAAAACTGACACAGGGAGCTTACAAAGGAACATTTCAGAACCAGAAGAAGGTACTGACATGTGATTTCATTGTAGAACTAATTGTACATTCTCATTATAACCGTGAAATTTTTTTATAAGATACACATATGACTGTTTGTATTCGCCATGATTTCCGGTATATATATAAATTATTACTTGTGAAATTGAAGAACACGTATATCAAAAAAAGTTTTATTCCGATATAAAATTGACATTTATGTAGTAAGTTCTGCCTGCATCAAGCTGTCCTACTCGCTGCTGTTAACGGGTGTGATAATAGGGCTATTTATATCTGTGTCAAGTGAAACATAACTGTTAGGTCACAGTTATCTCAAAGAAACTGTAAATTTGTCTTCTTTGCAAAAGTAATAACAAATGATGAATTTTTAAACCCGTTTTGTGTGGGAGGTTAAATATAATTATTCATTACTTTTCTTTTCAGACAAAACATTTGATTATAACATAACGATAGCAACAATGGGATGCCTTACATGGGAAGAGGAAAAATCACAATGGAATGCAAAGAAGTGCCAGGTACGAAAAATATCATAATTGCACAACAGTTATTTGTTTTGAAAGCTAATGATCCAAATGATAATGGAAACAATGTTTCACGTCATCTTTGTAAATACCTATAAGGTTAATTATTTGGGTAATATAAAAACCAGCGAAACCAACAAAACAGTACAAAGAAAACTTTTAAGCACAAATCTCGGATGATTCAGGTTCCTCATAACTTATCATTACATTAAATTCTCATCACTAAATTCCCAAAAGATTTGTTGATGATTGATGAAAACTTACCACATTTTATTCATTAGATAGAAATTGATCGTCTTATTCTTGTCTTATTTGCTTTATTTTATATCCTTTTTTATTCAAGCTTATTGATTGGTTGCGGGAAGATGTCAAAATTGTTTGTCTTTGTCAAGGATTGGCCGATATGGTTTTTGGAAATTCATTCTTTGTTGCTCCAAATGCTATTGATTTTTCAACCGTTTTTCTAAAGTTCTCCCCATTAAACCAAGCTGCTGTTCTCGGTACCCTTGCTGGACTCTTCACCATCTACATAATTTCAGTGATTTTTCTTGCTCGACTTGACAGAAAAGATAAATTAAAGGTCTGTAAATTAAATGATCCTTTGTTTAGATAATTTTCGTAATTTTATAAAACTATATTACCATGAATTTGACATTGTTATGATGTTTGAAAAGTAACATCCGCATATAAACTGTTTAAATACTTTTGTTCCAAACAAAAGACGATGAGAAATATTATTATGCCTAACATCATATTTTACACCAGAGGGTAAAATTCTGATGTCACATAACATTATTTTTTAATATAATGTATTATCACAAGAAGTCTAAAACATTCTTAAATAAAAAAAAACAAAATCCAGTGACAAAGAAACAAAATATAAAAGCAATGAATACAATTTTAAATGCAAAGATGAAAGATAACAGTACATTCTATTATCCCCAAAAAGTTCACCGCCTTTTTATTATATATTTTTGGTTCCAGTGGGTTATAACACCACTTCGCGACAATTACATCACTGATCAAAACTTTTATGTAATAAGAGTTTTTACGGGCATGCGTAGAGGAGATGGTACAAGGTCTCGTGTTGCTTTTCATTTGAGCGGTGAATATGACATATCCGGTAATCGAGAATTATTTGATGGTATAAGAGAGGTAAGTCTGACAATTTATCTTTCTATAAACTACAGTTTCTAATTTATGTGTATATCAAGAAATATGTCTTTGTCAATGATATCAGCATTGTAAAAAATTCCAATACAAATTCCAATACAAATCGTAATTATTCATTCATTGTAAAGAAATTTGCAGTGAAAAAATGAACTTTTAAAATATCACCAAATAAAGTCATCACCCCACTTTGCTGGCAAATAAATTGCGTTTGTGCTGATACTGAAACATGTTTTTTTCAATTGCGTTTCAACTCATTCTTGCATATTGAGTTGAGTTAATACTTATACCTATTTTCCTTTAAATCCTTCTAGGAGTTTAGCACTGGCAGTGTAATGTCATTTATAATGTCGACGTATAAGGATCTTGGTGATTTGCAGAGTCTTCATATATGGCATGACAATAGTGGAAATGGCAATTTTGCATCATGGTACCTTAATCAAGTTGATGTGTATGATTTGCAACGACAAAACACGTTAGTTAAGCATCTGCTTCTTCACATTTATAAAATTAGACTTTTATTGATAAATAGGATCAAATTCCAATACACGGAATGAGAATACCGATTTAGAAATATCGTTTCTTGTGCTATATTATGATATAATACGTTTACATAGTTTCAAACTCAGAGTCGTTCTCTTCTTAGTCTAAGTTTTGCATTAAGCAATCAATACTAATGCTACGTTTTGCTATATATTTTGCTTTATGTTTCTCCGTTAACGAAGTTGTAACATTATTTTCAGTTTTGATTGATAAAATGTGTCTTTGTAGATATTCTTTTCCTTTCGAGACCTGGCTGTCTATTGAAACATGTCTAGAAGCTAAGCTATCGCCGGTACCAACAAACCAACCATTAGATTTGGAATCTAGATTCTTTGGTAATTTGAGACATAGACTTTCAGAAGGGCATATGTTTATATCAATAGTTTATCGACCAGCAATGAGTGTTTTTACACGTGTTCAGCGTGCGTCATGTGCGCTCGTGTTTATAATGCTAAACGTGTTAGCAAACGCATTATATTTCAACCCGGAGCCTAATTACCAGACACCAGCATTGATTCAAATAGGACCATTCCGATTTACATCACAACAGGTTTGTAACATTTGTTAATCGCACTTATATCAAAGTTCATGAAAGTTTTAAAAAATAAAAATAAACATCGACAACAAAACAATAAAGATAAACAACATGCATGACATTATTTGCTTTTTACTGAACACTTGTGATAAAGTTACTTTATTCTAATGCCATATTCTACCTTTAATTGTAATATTTCCTATAAGAAGGTGGAGCTAGTGTGCTGAGATAATGGCTTGATATCATCACATCAATACCATACTTGAAATGTTAATATAAGCCTGCAACATTTAATATATTTTTACACGTTTTGAAACCTTGAAGGTTCTCATTTCACTATTCTATTGTTTGAGAAATAAATTTCAATCAAAATTTCTATAAAGCTAATCGTTTAATAATTTTATTTTTTAAGTATTGTACATTTTCAGATATACATATCTATAGTCTGTGCCTTGTTTACAACTATACCGGTATGTTTCCTCATCGAACTTTTTAAAAGAACAAAGAGAAAACAGGAAACAACTGGCAATATACGCTGCAGCTGTTGCCTTCAAAGTCATTGTTGTCAACATAGTGCTAAATATCAATACAGGACAAATGAGAAGGTACAGAATGAGCAATTACTGAACTTAGCGTCGTTTCTGATGGAATCAGCACAGTCGGAATACAGTTTACTACTACCACATGGGTGTGGTATTACACTGATATTTGATAAACAATGACGATGATGATGATGATAATAATAATAATAACAAACTATAAGCGGCACATTTGGCTACAAACAACTAATTTGTCCACATATTTTGATTCCTGTTTCTTCATCACTATAACAACATTTAATTTATAGAATGTGAATTATTTCATTGTTTATTTACTACATTGTGTACTAGTATATATATTTCTTATTATTATAACTATATTTCATTCATTGCTACTTCAAAAGAATTAGATTTTTAATAACTTCATGCATCTCAGTTTATTGTTTAGTTTATTTCATTTATTATTTCATTGCTATAAATTTATCATTAAAAGAAATAACTATATTATTATTAATATTGTCTTTTCTATAAATATGTTTATTTTTTGTTTGCAGATTTATATATATAGCGTGGTTTGTTGTTGCTGGAGGAACGATAACTCCTGCATTTTTTGTTCTGTTGTACAGTATGGAATGGGGCAAACAGAAATCTGAGGAGTGGCTGACAACATTGACCATGTCTTTACTGGAATCAATTTTACTAATAGACCCTTTTGTCGTGCGTAAATTCTAACGTTGAGTATTTCAAAACCAGTTAACAAGGACTATTTTGTTAATTATTGCACATTATGATAGTTAAGTATTATTAAAAAGAAAGCTTTGTTAGTGTTGCGATAAATCAGTTGTAATCATATTAAATTTACTTATTGAATGTAATCAGTAATCAAATACACCAAATGTAATAATTTTGAAAATGTTATTGATGTAATTGCTTTACGGTTAGTTTAAAAATACAATGTGTTTCATGGAGATTAGGTCGTTGACTTCAAAACCGTTTGCTTCTCCATGCTGCAAGTTCGAATTCCTCCAGGTCATTTGGAAACTGAACTAAACTATCTAGATTATGGAACGTCAGTGGTTCCACTTAGATATCCGCCTGTGACTAAGTTACTAAAAAACGAAAATGTGTAACCATATTATCAGAGATACATTCAAATTAAATGAATATTAAAATGCTTCATAATAACTTAAGACCCTAAGTAACTGTTCGATTCTATAATTATTATGTCATAAAATACAAAAGTGAGCCAAGTTATCTCTATGATTATTCCCCCCCACCAAACTCACTCGAAGTAATTGGTGTTGCCAAACATAATTTTACGTCATACTGGCACGTCATTAGAATATTTATATGTTCAAGGTCATATGCATTTCCCTCATTCTTGCTGTCATCCTACGTTCAAGAACTCTAAGAATGGAATCTAGCGCTACCAAAACTGTCGCCAAATATCGGCAGAGTCTCGGTGGAGACGAAAGTGAGAAATATTTATTGATATACTTCATATTTCAACCTGAAAACAGGGCAAAAATTGTTTCAATATTATAAATTAATTTATGGATATTCAAAAAGAAATGTTCATATACTTGTATTGACATTTTTAAGAAGATTCAAGTATAAGCTGTGTTAAAAATCTTAACTTTGCACCGTTTATGATAATGTTGATAAAATTTTGTCTTTTTATAATTCATTACCTTAATTACATAAAATCATAGTGTTAAATATTTATGTGGTCCTTACAGCCGTCAGAGCTGCTTCCAATAATGTTTCATTAGAAATCTCCAATAAACCAAACTTTACTATTTTTTACGATTGTTTTTACTTGTCCATTTGTGTCATTATCATAAGATTGTTATTTTAACTACAGACACCGTTTCATCGAGTTTGACAGTGCTGAAATCTATTGTGACAGAGTTTAAGTCTTTTGAATGTAAGTTGTCTGTTTGAAAATGACATTGTTTTGTCATTGGAAAACCATTATATACAATATTTTAATGAGAAAATAAAATATAATGATTCGTATGTCATCACAATATTTAGATTTACAAGTATCAGTACAAAACTTACTACAACAACAATTACAACAACAATAACTTTTGAAAATGAAAATGATTGTTAAATGGCTTGGCTCTAAATAAGAACATGATTTTATTTCCAGTAAAACCTAGAAATGTTTCAACGCCTGTTCAGGGAGATAATCTTAAACAAGCGCAAGAAAAACACCGGCAATACATAAACTTTCATAGAAGTTTGAAGGACATTAAATTAAACCTTGTTTTTATTATCATTGTGTCAGTAATCTGCTATTCCAACAGAGATGTCAGGTCGTTTCTACATCACACGCATCTTGGCAATAGACTTGTAACACCACGTCATACCCAACAGTTTAACTCGGTATATTTCAATTAGATTATGTACTAATTCTTTTGCATACTCTAAATCAAATTAAAGAAGACGCATTATTTACTTATTTAAATTAATTTGGGAGTTTTTTCCCTCACAATTTTAACTAACCCTCTCTTAAGTAGATATCAAAATTGTTAATATAATTATGTTTTAATATGTTAATCAACGAATTTCGAATTGATCACTTACCATATTGCACCCGTTTCACATAAACGAAGTGTACATTAAATTTTATTATTTAGGAATTACGTAAAATCTGTTAAAGTATTATAATCACTTTTTACGTAAAGATATATATGTGAAATGCTATGAATTAAACGTTTGAAAATGCCCATGATATAGATATCTAATATTTAGTGTGACTATGTTTTGATCAAATGTTTTGGGAACCTAATATAAAATGAAACTTAGGTCAGAAATTACACGTAAACATTCAAGTCACAAATTAACCACAAATACATGATGCCATTCTATTCTTCTTAGCAAAATCGATAAATTTAATACGTCTTCTATTTTCATTACTTTTAAGATAAAGTCACCAAATGATTTGTTTAAGTGGATAAATGACACAATGATTCCTTACTTATTCCGTGAACATGACGAGTACGGTATGGTCTTACACTGGACAGAGCGACAATTCACATATGATCATCATCTAAGACTTGGGCCGCCAAGACTACGACAGCTGCGAACTAAACAAGGTATCTAGAATTCATGATTCTTTGTATACATCTGCATTCTTAAAAGGTATAAATTGAGATGATTCGGAGTTTAAAAAAAGAAAAACTTCCAAACAGTTCTGATAAAAAATTAGAATACAAAGAGATTGATTAACGATTTTGTTATGTCTACTTTAAATTGACATATATACGGAAGATTAAGATAAGTTTGAAGAGATCAAACTTTTGGAAAAATATGTTTTAATTTAAGATTTTTTTTCAATATTCTCAATGTGAAACGTCATGCAAAATATGACCTTATCACTGAAACACTACTTTGTAAGTAACGGAGAAAGAAAAGATCCTGCATATTTTGGACTAGTTATATGTAATTCCTGTGAATTGAAAAGGCCTTGATCTACGTTTATTTTAAATAAGGTTTACTTTTGACATCATCTTTCTCATGTGATCATTTTATAAGGTTACATTACAATATAATTACTTATTTTATTTTATTACAATTATATGATTACCTGTAGTTACTTGTGACATACCTTACATCGACCGGACATCTTGTTTTGGTGGATATCAAATATGGAATGAAGATGACGAAAACTACTGTATTGGATGGAAAAACTACCCATGCAGCTTAACAGAGGCTGTCTATAATGTGACATCTTCAGCATGGAAATTCCAATCGTGTAAGAATAAGGCTAATGTCCTTAGCAGTTTCCATTAATTTTTGACTAAACAAATAACTGCAGATTAGTCGCTCCAAAGTAAGACATAAAAACAAACAAAAATAATCATATGATACAGCTAAACAAACAAAATAAAAATAAAATTGGACATTATTCAAACAAGCAACAACTCATTCACAACACTTGCACGCAATGCCAATAAATCACAGTAAAACAAATTAGTACAACAACAACAATTAGGAGCCCAGACATATCAAACGGTTATCCAACAATTCATAAAATCAAACATCACACCTTAGGAATTTACACACCTCAACATAACAATCAGATATTTAAAACAAACATATACAAACATATACAAGGCAAACGTATCTAAAAATGTCTTCCAAGCACAAACTGAATGAAACGACTAAAGTTTATCCAAACACCTCGATCCACGGTGTCCACATTTGCACTCCCTTTTAGTCACTGAAACCGAAATAATAGACGCCCTTATACTCCAGAATTCCGGTAAAGCTACAAGTTTACACCATGTCAACAATTTCGTCTTGCAACAACTATTTGTTGAATCTGTTACTCCTCTCTGCAATATATTCAACTATTGACATTCAGGGGAAGTTCCCGCACAGTTCAAACATAATTGCTCAGGATAATGCCATTCATAAGTAAAACGGTTCGCAATATATAAGTAGTTATTTGGCAGTAACCTCTCTACTTAGTGCCTCCAACAAAGTCCTTGAACGTATATTGCATAAACACATCTTCAACTTGTTCACAACAGACAAGTGCATCAATGCAGTTGGCATATAACCATAATACGTTAAATACATATCTTTGATTAATGTTTTTTCAGTTTTTTTTCCTTACCTTTGACTCATTAGAAAAATATGACGGCTGGCTACGTTCACAATGATATCAAACATGTCTTCTGTAACTCTAAACCTTTTTCCAATTTTGTTCTTCATCAACAACCTATGCTTGAAATTAATAAGCGTTAAACATCAATAACGCATCTATTCTTTCATTTTTTAAATAATGTCCAACTTTCTGTAACGTCAGAAGTAGAGAAACGTCTATCCTACATGCTCGGTTACAACTGCAAAAAAATTCTATCTCTTTTAAAAAATATCATGGAAAGTCAAATATGCGCCTGTGATGAAACTAATAGACAAACAACTGTCATCTATTAGTCTCAAAGAACCATTATCATAAACAACTTCAGCAATATCACACCAATCAATAAAAATATACTTCTCTTTAGATCTTTTATAAAAAAAATCTTTAAAAAAGAAAATCAGAATGTTGTTAAAAATGATAGAGATAATGTAATGTAATTTATCAAATTCAGATAAAAAGAACAGGGTTATAAATTTTTGATTGATCTAACATGTATATAGTGCACAAGCTTTAACATATTTCCTTTTCTAGCTTTAGGTATCTGGGGGTTACCTTTGACAGGATACTATACAACATATGGTGGCGGAGGTTATATAGCATCACTTCATGTTAATCTCAATTATTCTATCGCCACTATCAACGAACTGTATAAAAACCTATGGATTGATCGCCAAACTCGAGCTGTGATCGTAGAATTTACACTTTATGATGCGTCTACAAACTTGTTCGTTGACAATATGTTTATGATAGAGTTTCCCCAAACAGGTGGTGCATTTACAACGTATAACACATACCCATTACGTGTTTATCCACACCATGGGGCTGCAGGAACTTGGACACTTGTATGTGAAATATTGTTTGTGCTTTATATTACATGTTTCTTCATCCGAATTTGTCTGCGACTTTACCGACTACGATCTGAGTACTTCAAAATATTTTGGACTGTATATGATCTTGTCATTTTTCTTGTTGCAGCGACAGCCATGATTTTATTTTGTTTTCGGCTACGATTCTCGTTTGAAACGATCAAGAAGTTTAAACAGGATAATAAACTTTATGTGAACTTTAGTCATATTGTGTTTTGGGATCAAGGTTTTGTGCTGGCTCTAGGTGTGTTAGCATTTCTAGCCACAATAAGGATGCTCGAGGTACTGTCTACACTTAAACATTTGAAAGCAATCGTGGATATCTTCAGAAAATGTGGCAAAGATCTGTTTTGGTATGGCATAACATTTGTCCAGATTTTTGTCGGGTTTTGCGGATTGGCATTGCTTCTCTTTGGTTCGCAGCTTGAATCGTACAGAAACGTATACCAGTGTATGGGAACATTATATATAGCAATGATTGGAAAGAGTAGGTTCACAGAAATAAATGAAACAAACCCCGTACTGGCGAAAGTTTTCTTCATGTTATACATTCTGATTGTCGTTTATTTTTTCCTTACCCTTTTCCTCGCCATTCTTGGAGCAAGCATCGACGAAGTGGTTCAACAAAATCGCACAGGTCCGGATCACGATCTTATAGCATACATGATAAGTAAAATCAAACACTTTATAAATAAACCAGAACTAAGCATGAAAAAGCAGCGAGAGAGAACAGCGAAAACCGCTCCGACATCAGCAAACAAGTAAAATACTGAAAATAACTCAAATACTTTTAGACTGAATGTTCATGACATAGAGGAATCATGCATGTCACACTTATATTATATTTTTTAATAAGTTTAATGATATTTTGGGATAGTCGTCCCAGAACTGTTATGTTGACAGTTTATTATAAAACTATATGTTACAGAATGAGTTGTTCAGATATCAAAAATTGTTTTAAATTGTGTGAGAATTAGAACATTTTTTTTAAATGTAAAATTTAAAAATGTAAAATCAACCACATTGCATATTTATAATTTTAAAACTTTATGATTGTTAAAAGAAAATACCACGGTTACAAAAATATTCCTCGCATATATATACAACTTTTTGTATCATGTACACTTGAAAACCGTTTCACCTATGGTGGCTGATCATGATTTCTACCATTTCGTGTCTTCGCCCCTCAAAATTCGAAGGCGAAAATACGAAGTCACGATAATATGCTTACTTATTATGTCATTGTTTACGGCTTTTTGGGCGCTGATACTAAAATGAGATATTTTAATGGCGAAATAACGATATTTAAATAGGCAAAGACACGAGAATTTATCGAGTCCCCAAATTTGCCAATTTTTTGAGTCCCAAAAGTCGAAGACACAGTAAACTGGTCAATTACCGTATCTTCGCCTTTCGCATTTTTAGGCGAAGAAACGACGACACGACGCATAGGGCGCCGATACAAAGATTTCTTCCCGCCGACACGATGATTCTGCAGAAAATATCGTGTCTTCGCCTATTTAAAAATAGTTATTCCGCCAGAAATATATTGTGTCTACGTGTCGGCGCCCTCAAAAGTCAAAGGCAAAAACACGTAGATATGAAATTCCAGAAATCAGCTACCAAATGCACCTGTCATAATCTCGTGCGAGTCGAAGTTTTCATTTATGTATGATTGTTTTGTTTATTTTCATTGTTCTTATGGTGGTACACCTATACAAAAAATATATTAAAACAAATTCACAGAGGTTTTTTGTACACGACAGAAAAGGAGGTAATATTTTGATATCTATGTTTCCTTTGATGTAGGTCTAGACCAATAACTTTTCAGATCACATTCACTTCGTTTTTCATTTCACAATGAAAAATGACCCTTAATTGAGAAGTGTTACAACACTTTTCACTCCAATTGGGAAAAGAATAGCACAAAAATACGAATTTCAATTTATTCCTGAGTATATTTATAAATTATCTTTTGCGTGTCCTTCTATTGTAAGGACCCCAGCTGATCTATATAAGAACTTCAAATTTTATGTTTTTATGCTTTTAGAACTTCCTTTAATATTTCTAATTGATTTCCGTTGATATTGATTGCAAACGAGATTGTTTCTAATGCCACCACCAAATCTATTATCATATTTGTTGAACTTATCGTTTGCAGTGATGTTGCGTCGTATTTTGATTTGAATTTCTGAAAGAACATGGCCACTGCATTGCCTCCGCTCTGAGAGTATCTAAATAGGCTAAAACTCATGTAAAATGCATGAAAACTTGTGGCACCAATGCGTTTACATTATTTTTTATGTATAGTTGTATTATCAATATATGTAGATCTATTTCAATCGCCAATTTAATATCATTTAAACATGACGTGAAAACGTATATTAAGAGACAATTTTTGCTTGTTTTCGCAACCAAAGCACCCGTTATTTAAATCTAAATGCTGTAAACGTGTATTGTTTATATTTCACTGTTGATTGTTCATGTTTTTATTTATCTTAAGACCAATGAAAGGTGTCAATTTCAATACAATGGTCAAGGATGACGATCAATCATACGGCTATTAATTTGAAAAGTAAAAAACACTCAATTTATGATTTTTTTTAGTTTTTTTCCCAACCGATATTATGTCTATCCTATTGAAAATTGTGAGTGCACAGGTTAAAGTCAATTTGCCATAATTTGGTGAAATTTTGACATTTTTGATATGCACAAATAATTCCATGTGACCAACGGACATTTAGATAAATATTGTTCGTAAAGCATTGTAAATGGTTAATTTTCAAAAAGGTTGGGACAGTCTTTAGGAAGTTTCTATATTCTATCCTAAACACTTTGCATTATTGTTTGTCAATCAGTATTATAAAAGTGAATCACTTGACACATATATAACTTATTCAACTCAACTTGACAGCGAAAACATGTCACTTTAACATTAATTGAATACACTTTTACGAGAATTATGGTGGAATCACCACATTAATACATTTATCCAGCTCGTATCATTGTAGTACTGTTAGATAATTTCTACGCTTCATTTCTACGCTGAAATTGTATGATATATTATCAATAATGACTTTAACTTACGTTTTTTTTTATACAAGGCATCATATATCTTAATGATCTTTACCCCATCCACTTCTTTCCTTTTATCATAATCGTAATATCAGTGATATTGGGTTTTATTACAACTGATTTCATATCGACTAAAAATTTTTTTTTCTAAATCTCAATATAATCATTTTGACCTATTTCATAGCTATGTACGCTAATTGCCATGTAGACGGTACCGCCTTAATTGACGTAAAATCGTTTCTTGTTTGTTTGTTTGTTGTTGTTGTTTTTTGTTTTGATGAAGACATTTCAGACAAGAAAAGGAAATTATATGTAGTTTTGATATTTAATTTTAATTATGATTGATTTTTTGTCACTGCACTAGACATAGTACACCTCTTCAGAAGTTTTAAATGGTATTGATTGTTGATTTCAGTATATATTAATTTGATACATCACATTTATACCCTAGTCCTTTTTAATTTTTTTTATCATAAAAGACGTTCCAAATTTTTAGTAATTTTATAAAAGGTGTCGATTCCCGTTTTTTTAGATGCATATTTTATATAGTGCAAATGGCTACCAATGTCCAGCTAAACGTAAAAATGACATATTCATGCCCGATGTTTTTTATATTTACTGAAATGTTTTATATTTTACATTGTTATTACATATCGTTATGTTATTGTATTGCCTTACGATAATTTCTAAAAAGAAATTTAAATTTTAATTAAAAAAACCTAATTCAATCTTACACAAAAAGTTATGATTATTTTACAGAGATCAATGAATTAATAGATTATGAACTTTATCTAAATGAACATTATACATAACAAACTGATTATTGTATCGTCGATTTCAACAAATTGATTTTTATTTGAATTTCGTTTTTAAAAATGTAAATTCCTGATGTTTCTCCGGTTTCACAGATGTATGATGTAAATAATTGATTAAAATTTGTTACGGTATGATATTCTTGTTGGTTAAATTCTTTTGGGTGTGAAATGTAATGTTATATTTCAATTATTAACTTTCAATAGTAACTTTTTTATGGCAGAAATATAGAGTCAGTCCAGACCGTAGAGCTGCGAAATCTGACTGAAAAAATAAACAGTTAAATTCTCATGTATGTTTTTTGAATTACTCAAATTAAGTCCATGTATATAATAATGTATATGTGTTTCAAGTATTTCATTCACATGTAAAAAGTGGTGATATGCTTACAACTTAAATGCAAATGATAGATGCAAAAAACTTGTTATGATTGTCATATAAACTTTACAGAGTACCTGGAAAATGTCGCGCCGGTCTTTAAATAATATTTTTTTTAAGAATTGACGAATGATAATGATCTCTCTTGAAATATTTCCCCTCAGACACAAACCATTTCTCCCTTTGCCATTGGATTACAGGATAATCGGTCTATATAAGCATCGTCTGGGATTCGGACAAAAGCCCCCCCCCCCCCATCTAAAAATGACAAGGTGGACAAAAGCCCCCCATGAAAGTTACACATAGGACAAAAGCTGGTGGGGGGGGGGGCTTTTGTCCTACACTCGCATCGTCTTAACATCCCAGTGTCAGCGACAGGATCGCAAAGAACGTCGATAATTAACAAATCAATCAGTCAAGCAATTCAAAGACCTATACTAATATCCATGTGCGCTTGCATTGCGGTGTTTATGACATTCTTAATGAAGCAGCGCTTTAAAGTTTGATGTTTTATATTCTAATTATAACTTAAAACTGCCATTATCATGTCGATAAATTCTTTCAAACGCTGTTATCGCATATATTGTAGTTAGTTTTTACTTTAAAATGTGTTATTTGAATGACGTTCATAGTACAAGCGTGCCATATGTTTTCCAAATAAAAACAACATCGTTTCTAAGTTTACCTAGAATACTCTCTTATTAGCTAGCTTAATCATCTGTCCATGTCCACTCTGTCTCTGTCTCTGGTATTTAAGAATTGTTCTAAGAAATGCTTACTTAGAAAGTATCTGGAAGTATTATATTGTTTCGAACATAGTTTTTAGTTTTGGTTGTTTGCGTTACACCAAAACAGAATAGGTCATTTTGCGACTATTCAGCTTTACCCGGTTTAGATCCCAAACACTTGTTTTCGTTTGATAAATGGTGTTGGAAAAAGCGATCACATTTGCGGCGCCATCCCCAATCAAATAAATACATCAAAGGGGTGCCAGGGGCAGATGTGCGCCTTTCTGTTTAGGGGTTTGAAGGGGGTCGACAGACCCTTGTTTCCAAGAATTATTTAGATTTGTGAGAGGCTGAAAATGGTCCCAGATCGACCTTAAGGTAACGTGTAACCAACGCTGTAAAGAATTTGACTCTGTCGCAATCCATTGAGAAGTTGCATTAATTTGATTTCAGTTAAGGTGAAAAAAATCAACGCAAAGTAGTTATTGTCGGCAATTTTGAGATGTTCCCTCGTTGACATGGTAACAGGAAATTTAATATTGGGTATGCGGTTACAAAGGCTATAGTACAGTCAACATGTGTTTCAAGTTTGAACAGTATCGAATCCTTTTTACGTTATCATAGCAATTTGAACTTGTAACAGGAGGCTTCGAAATGAAAACAGCCATTTTTCACAAAATGCTAATGAAGTAATGGGTCGAGATATGACAAATTGACATCATCGCGATAATTTAGCCAAATCGAATATCACTTTACTGTTGTTTTTTTAACTTAAAACGTATGACTTGCTCTTATTTACTTATATATATTAAATTTGGAACATTTGAAAGTAATTTTTATGATGTTTTTTTAAAGATGTAGAGATAGCAACATAGATGGGCATAGTAGCATACGTAGAAACAACGGAAATGGTTTTACCAAATTCAAAGATAATAAGTTTGGTCCTAATACACGTACATTACAAACTGCCTTGTATTATTATATTCGCGCAAACATTTTGAAATTTACATAATATTTGAAATCTAGAAATATTTAGACATTTGAATGAATGAAAACACAAAATACATGTTATGTTCAGATTTCCAACATTAACTTAGTATCAATTAATTCTAGCGGTGTTCCGAGTGGTTAAGTCGGATGCCTTTTAAACTAAAGATTCGTTTAAGTCGTAATTCAGTTGGTTCTATATTTAGGAAATAGATAATGCGTGTTTAAAAAGTGTATAAATGTTCAATAATGAATGATCGATTTAAGTTTAGATATGCAGTAATACAATCACAAAGAAGTTGAACTAAATAAGGGCAAGTGATCGTTTTTATACCATGTCTAAATTCATTTGTGTGATTACGATCACAATTAGCCATAAGTATCTAGAGATGGTTATCACGTACAGCATATTTAAAATAAATAAAATAAAACAATGAATGAATACAGCACACGTAACTATTCATAATCGATTAAATTATTCCGTTTAGGCATGCTTGAAATTATGCCATCCTTGCAATTTTGTGGACGCGTGACAAATCTAATATTTATTTATGCAATGATCGCGAGTGTTGCTTTCATGATTGATTCAAGTTATCTATTATATTATGCAGACTACTTTTTTTTTTAATTTCCGAATCATATGTGGTCCATTACTGCCATTATTACTCGGTCTTGTTTTATCAAATATTTACAAACTAGTGAAGCAATTTTAAAACATCTATTGTTCACCATACATTCATAATGTTAAGGGTTAGTTTACAAATATTAGATGGCTTTGTCATACTAAAACGTAAAAAGGAACGTTTATGAAATATATATTGACACGTGCTTCAATATCAAGTTTAAAGGAACGACTCACCTTTAATACATTACTTTAATTAAGCGTGAGAGTACCTTATTCAATAGATTTCCGTTTAGAACACCCCGAGTGTTCAAGTCATTACATTGTCCAATTACAAAGTCATTGGTTGATAATTCTATCGTGTAGTCTGACACTTGCGGCTATCTACGCAGACTCTCCTTCGGACACATGGACCCATGTATACACAGATGGGTCAGCCACTAGAGCCGTTAAGGATGGAGGCGGTGGTATTCACATAACGTACCCGTCAGGCCAGAAAACAGCCCATTACATCGCCACTTGGAAGCACTGCAGCAATTACAGAGCAGAGACTGAGGCACTCATGAAGGCAGTCTTTTTGATAGAAAACTCGCCAGAAGAGATCACCTCTGTAGTCTTCCTCACAGATGCAAGATCAGTTCTGGAGGCCCTACAAAACAACAATGTCCCTGAACTAGCGCAAGCCGTGAACAAGCTTGGGTCGTCCTGTAATGTTGCACTTCAGTGGATACCATCTCACTGTGGAGTGCCCGGAAATGAGGAGGCTGACAAGCTTGCTAGGTTAGGAGCCCAGTTGGAGCAACCAGATAACCAGGTGACATACAAAGAGAAAGCCACCATCATCAAGGCTCTCACCAAGACAAGACAGGAAGCGGATGCCTACCACATGCTAAACCGACCAGAACAAGTGGTGATGGTCAGGCTTCGCTCGGGACACAACAGACTGAATGCACACATGTGCAGGAAGTACAAACTGGTGCCGTCCCCCATATGTCCCTGTGGAGAAGAGGACCAGACTACAGAGTATATCCTCCAAAGATGCAAAAGTCACGACCAGGAGCGAGGAGCAACGTGGCCCCGAGGTGCAACACTCCAGCAGAAGCTGTACGGAGACGTTGAGGACCTGCGGCGGACCACAACCTTCATCGCGGATACTGGCGTGATCGTGTAGAGCGAACGCCAGTAAGTAGTAAGATAATTCTATCTGAAATAACTAGAAATATATCGGATGTGGATCAATCTATACCTCGAAGTTTTCTTTATCTTTTGTTTGTTTACGGGTTCATTGATTCCATTATCTTCGTCGTTGAAATT